ATTTACTTTTGTGTGTTTTTGTCAGGCAGAAATTTATTTATACCCCCTTAGGGTGTAAGAGGATAGGTAGGCAGTAATGGAGACGCTGCATCTCTGGTTTGCAGAGTCAAGCATTGCACTGAGAATCAGGAAATTGGCAAACCTGCTGTTTTAATACTAATATCCATTCTCTTGATCATTTTCAACTATCTCCATAGAAACTCTCTGGCTAGCAGCTAACATTCTTTTGTCAAAAGTGGCAGGAATGTAAACAAAGCTTATATGTGATGAATGTCTGAGTCCAGTAATTGAAGCAGCAAAGACAACCATTACCTGTAAAATATTTGGTTACCACAGAAACTGAATGCCAGCCAAAAACCTACACTGATTTCTGGAGCATGTCCTAATGCTTCCATATAGAATGACTTGAAAATACAAAAGAAGTAAAAACTCCAAATGAAAACATGTTTAAACACTATAAAAACTTTTGAAAATCATGCTCTTAAGTTCTTTATTAAAATTGTTGATGGTCTGTGGTTTCCCTAAGAAGGTCGAGGAGGACCAATGTTAGAGTGTTTTGTCTGTGTGGGGTGGACAGATGGAAGCTATTTGAAAATATGAGGGACTGTGTTGATATGTGGAGCAGTTCTTTAAGTCAGGAGGAGGCATAAAGTAGATAGATTGGTTGTCATGTTTCCTTTGCTTTATTGCCAATTTACATTATTTTATATAATAACAATAAACTTCAAAAATAGAGTGGTAAATAAACGAACATTAAAAATGATAATACAAAATGTGTGCTCTCCCCAGAACTAGATATTGTTCTTTTAGAAAATTCTGTCTCTGCATGTCATCTGGGAGTCTTCATTGTTTTTAGAGATACATAACAACTAAATACAGTTAATGTATGTAAAAGTATATTTAAATATCATTGTTATGCAGAAAAATTATTGCAGTTTTTTTACAGAAATGTGGGTAAGAAATAAGAATGGAAATTATGTTTCTCCCAGAACTCAAAGCTGAAAGATCATCCTAAATTGTGACCCTGCCTATGAAAACCCAGCTAAAGTCATTTTTTGGTGAATCTCAACTTAATGTATAAAACCATTCTTAACATTGTGTAGAATGGTTTTCTACATTAAGTTGAGATTCACCAAAAAATGACTTTAGCTGGGTTTTCATAGGCAGGGTCACAATTTATTTATTTTAGAAAGATTGGATGTGTAAATATATGCATCTATTTATGAACAAAGGCTTCAGGAAAATATTTTTTTGTTTTTACACAACATTTTTTTTTTTTTTTTTTTACAAATTTTTACCTTATTTGGAAAATGCAGATGTTCTGCTGCATCAACTTTCCTGTTGGAACAGTGTAGATTGAGGTTCTGGAGACCAGCTCTAATTTGGAGAATTTTCCAACCTACCCTCAGATGACATCGTTTTAATATCGAATGTATTTATCATCCAGGTATTAAACCCACACCTTACAGTGTCTCATTTTGCTTCAGAAATCAACCTGGATGCAGTTTAAACAGCCGCCTGCTGTCTATTATAGTTACCCAAAATGTCAGCCTTATGAATAGAATATTGTTCACATTTATTAAGATTTTTTTACCATTGACATACTCAGAAATGCTTATAAAGAGACACGAAGAGAGAATTGATTTAAACGAAAATCCTGACCTTTTTCTTTTACTGTGTAGGATGAAACAGATGCAGCCATCTCATATGCTACTATCATCCTCACGAAGACTAACAATCAGGTGACTATCAGATGAGGATCTTTTGTGTTGTGATAATGCACTGAATAGTTATATGCATCCCTCTTTGGGATTGATTGTCAGCTCTGTGTATCGTTTGTGTTCATCTGCAGTAATTCAATGCTGCACTGCGTCCCTTTCAGGTTCGAGGAAGTGATACTGCAGTCACCTACAGCGCCGTCAAAGTTGGAGCATCCCCTCATCCAAGCGACCATTATGCATCTATTAGATAACCAACATTGTGTATTTGTTAATTTTTCTACTGGAAGGTCAAGATTTGTATGCAACAAAAACATTAAAAGATATATACTTCCTTTCACTTTTTGAGGGGAGGCAACATTTTGATCACAGTTGCAAACATTTGCAAACACGAGCTGAACTATGGATTGAAAAAGTGGCTTAAAAACAGGCAATAACTGAATGTATACTAAACTCAATCCATCCAGTGTGATTATACAGGCTAGCAGTCTCCACAAGGGGGAGATGTAGGTTATGCAATGAGCTCCTGTGTAATGCTCTTAAATTAGACCATTCTTTATTTCCTCAAAAGTTTATCTGTTTGTTAAATATGACTATGTGTAACCTGAGTCAAATATTTTTTTTGTGCACAAAATATTGGTTGATATATATGTTTTTGATGTCTGCCTGCATAAAAATAACCTTTTCATCCAAGCTAAGATTTATTTTGCAAGGAACCACTGGAAATAAAGTAAGATTTTTAGATGTGTACAGCTGGTGTTTGTCTGTGTTTGATTGCATGTACTTAGTTTTTTTTTTTTTTCTCCAAAAAATGTTGACTAAATGATGACAAATTTTTCCTCCAGTCATCTTCTATCACATGAGATCTCAATATAGTACATTAAAGCTGGTTGTTGAGGTATGATTATGTTTGTGGAGTACAGTATGTTTGGAATGAAACAGACACGGCCTCTTTTTAAACAATGTGTTTAAATGCATCATATATGTCCATAAGGTTTTAATGTATAAAATATAGTCGTACAATATTTGTTTATTACTTTTAGCACAGATAAATTAAGTTAAATTACACCGACAGAATACAATATCGACATAATGTAAAAGAAAATCAACAGTTATATTTTGGAGTAAAAGAAATATCTTAGTTGTTGCAGATTTATCGCTTGTTGTCAAAATCAACCAATCAGATTTCTTCAACCGTTCCAAATTTGGTAGAAGTCCCTATTTGCCCCGCCCCTCTTTGTTAGCTCGACCAATCACATGTCGCCAAGCTTTGGCCACTGCAGAGAGGAGCGAGAGAGGACGGCAGAGGAGCTGCGTTATCTCAATCATGTAACGGAAACACTAAGCCTTGTATTATGGTGAATTCTAATTTTTCGCATGGACAGTGGATACCGAGGTGCTTTAGAGCCTGCTAAAGGCAGGAAATGCACAAAGGAGAAGGCAAGGCAGCGGCCCCTGCAGCGTACTGAGACCAAAGATAGAGGAGCGCTGTCAAGTAAGAAGTAAAATCAACTATACTTCCGGTTGTTAATTTCAGAATAAGAGGGGTGAATTTGTTTATTCTAAGTATTGTGTATAACATTAAACGTGCTGTTATCACAAACCTTTTTGCTGCACATTTAGATTAATTTAAGCAAAGACATTTGGTGTTTTTACCTGATAAATGTACAAATAATAATTCCAGGCTATTATTTTGAAAGTACGTTTCTTTACACTCTTTGTAGGGTACGGTTGCCACTTGTTAGCTTGACAACTACAAAAAAAGGGTGAAGTTACAAAGCCTCGGTCCACAACAAGACTTTACAGCCTGGAGTGGACAAGGTCGCCTTTTTATGAATGGAACCTACCTCTTCTCATAGAGGTTTTTTGCTGTAAAAATGTGGTTTGAAGCTACGAATAGGTTAACGGTGTGAAGCCGGGGCCCCGCTGGAGAGAACGGTAGGCTCGGATTAATAACGGTTGGGATATTTCCGCGGATACGGTCGAAGGAAATGCAAAACTCCTCGACAAATGAACTTTTCTGTATTTTCGTTAAATACCGATGACACTTTAAATTCATTTATTATTTCAATAGGTCAGTCTACGTGAAATAGTTTTTCACTACAACAATGTAATGCGTGTGTTTTAAATCAGAAAACACATTCTGTTATAATAGAAATCATCAGTTTTAGTATAGGATGCTAATTTATCTAGTTTTCTGTCAACAAAAACTAGATTTGTTGACGTTAGCGTTAACTATATGTTACGGAAGAGGATTAGGGCCACTGAAAAATTAAAAAAGTTAACTGAATTTTAAATTTGATTTTACTATAATGTGAGGATCTGAATTGTAAGAAAAAAGTCAGAATTCTGACTTTTTTCTTACAATTCAGACTTTAGTCTCGGAATTCCGACTTTAGTCTCAGAATTTTTCTTTAGTCTCAGAATTCCGACTTTAGTCTCAGAATTC